TATTTGACCTCTGTGACCTTAAAAGTAGGTCATGGTCATTTTTATTTGCAAACTTTTGGACTCCACCCAAGGAAGCTACCTGCTAGATATTATGATCATGAATATACACATTTCGGTTCTTCAGAAAAAGTTGTTTGAAGTTTATTTTACATATATATATCTGACCTCTCTGAACTTTAAAGTAGGTCAATGCGACATATCTGACCTTTTGGCCAGGTGAGCTTAACAACTTGACGGTAAACAGACGACGGTCGACACACATTACAATAAGCTCACAGGCACTTTGTGCCAGGTGAACTAAAAAAGTAAATATAAGCGATATATATATCAGAAAACTTAACTATGTAACTTTATTTCATAACAGTATGTACATTATATACACTGAGTATCTAAACAGACATGTACAGGTACATCATTGTGATTAATAGACATGCTATCACAGATAACTAAACGACTGCTTACTAATTAGCTTACTATAATCACCGTATAACATCTCACAGACTGCTAACTAAGCCTACTATAATCACTGTATAACATCTCACAGACTGCTTACTAAGCTTACTATAATCACTGTATAACATCTCACAGACTGCTTAGTGCTTACTAAGCTTACTATAATCACTGTATAACATCTCACAGACAGCTTACTAAGCTTACTATAATCACTGTATAACATCTCACAGACAGCTTACTAAGCTTACTATAATCACTGTATAACATCTCACAGACAGCTTACTAAGCTTACTATAATCACTGTATAACATCTCACAGACTGCTTACTAAGCTTACTATAATCACCGTATAACATCTCACAGACTGCTTACTAAGCTTACTATAATCACCGTATAACATCTCACAGACTGCTAACTAAGCTTACTATAATCACCGTATAACATCTCACAGACTGCTAAGTAAGCTTACTATAATCACTATATAACATCTCACAGACTGCTTAGTGCTTACTAAGCTTACTATAATCACTGTATAACATCTCACAGACTGCTAACTAAGCTTGCTATAATCACCGTATAACATCTCACAGACTGCTTACTAAGCTTACTATAATCACCGTATAACATCTCACAGACTGCTAAGTAAGCTTACTATAATCACTATATAACATCTCACAGACTGCTTAGTGCTTACTAAGCTTACTATAATCACTGTATAACATCTCACAGACTGCTAACTAAGCTTACTATAATCCCCGTATAACATCTCACAGACTGCTAACTAAGCTTGCTATAATCACCGTATAACATCTCACAGACTGCTAAGTAAGCTTACTATAATCACTATATAACATCTCACAGACTGCTTAGTGCTTACTAAGCTTACTATAATCACTGTATAACATCTCACAGACTGCTTAGTGCTTACTAAGCTTACTATAATCACTGTATAACATCTCACCGACTGCTAACTAAGCTTACTATAATCAATGCATAACATCTCACAGACTCCGGCCACTTCATCATACAATGGACACCATCAAGTCACTACCAAGGTCTATATTTTTGACATATTTTAAATCTGGTCATCACTTCATAACTTTACTTAATTAACAGTACTGTTTTGGTATATAACAACATATGCATGTTTATGCACCAGTATTGTAAAAGTTCACCCACATGGTGTAGTGAAATCTGCCTCAGAACAATGTAGTTGTCAAGATAACAATTCTGGGTCTGTATTCATGAAACCGTTCTCATGCTCAAAAACAGATTCTTTTTTGTGCCAGTGATGAATTATCAATAAAATGATCATATTTATATATATATAATTTGGAGACACTTTAAGCCAAAAAAAACCCAAAACATTTCCAATGTTTACACTTGACTTTTTTTACCTTTATGCACTATTTAAGCTAGTTATAAGAAAGTCGGCTTTATTATAACAGTTTCATGAATATGGGCCCTGATTTATAGAAATATGCTACCTTACACATTGTACCAGCTGTTTTATGTTAAGTGACTAAGTCCCTCAAGGAAATATATATGCTACCTTACACATTGTACCAGCTGTTTACGTAAAGTGACTAAGTCCCTCAAGGAAATATATATGCTACCTTACACATTGTACCAGCTGTTTTATGTTAAGGGACTAAGTCCCTCAAGGATATATGCTACCTTACCCATTGTACCAGCTGTTTTATGTTAAGTGACTAAGTCCCTCAAGGATATATGCTACCTTACACATTGTACCAGCTGTTTTAAATGTTAAGTGACCAAGTCCCTGAAGGATATATGCTACCTTACACATCTATACCAGCTGTTTTATGTTAAGTGACTAAGTCCCTGAAGGATATATGCTACCTTACACATTGTACCAGCTGTTTTATGTTAAGTGGCTAAGTCCCTAAAGGAAATATGCTACCTTACATATTGTACCAGCTGTTTTATGTTAATGTTCAATAATATTCTTTAATTATAGTACAGTGTATCAATATATGGAATGCTTTCTGAGTTCCACAGGAATGTACCATACAGCCTTAAACAGTAATATCTGAAATATTATTGGTAAATGCCTGAAAATCTTGTTAAACCTCCAATTTACATCATTGGGTATATGTACACTCGTTCAGAGAGATACTTGTTAAACACTGGGATCTGTCAGATACCTGGTTACTATCTTCAGGATAACTTACACCATTTAGAAAAGACAAATCTCTGGCAATTAAATAGCACATCATACATATATACTGCCATAATAGGTTATATGAAGCTAGAAATGTTAATCAAAATGAACAAATGAAAAATTGAATTAGAAAATAAACAGAAATTAGTTCAATTCCTGTAATCTGATAGATAATATGTATCCAAATGACCCAAAAGCTGACTTTTTCACATAAACTACAGGTTCTAGCTCGTCTATCAATACACCCATCAATAAAACATTATGGGTGTATTGACAGACGAGGCTAGTACCTGTGGGTGTACTGACAGACGAGGTTAGTACCTGTGGGTGTATTGACAGACAAGGCTAGTGCCTGTGGGTGTATTGACAGATGAGGCTAGTACCTGTGGGTATATTGACAGCCGAGGCTAGTACCTGTGGGTGTATTGACAGACGAGGCTAGTACCTGTGGATGTATTGACAGACGAGGCTAGTACCTGTGGGTGTATTGACAACCGAGGCTAGTACCTGTGGGTGTATTGACAGACAAGGCTAGTACCTGTGGGTGTATTGACAGATGAGGCTAGTACCTGTGGGTGTATTGACAACCGAGGCTAGTACCTGTGGGTGTATTGACAGACAAGGCTAGTACCTGTACCTGTGGGGGTATTGACAGACGAGGCTAGTACCTGTGGGTGCATTGACAGACGAGACTAGTACCTGTGGGTGTACTGACAGACGAGGCTAGAACCTGTGGGTGAATTGACAGACAAGGCTAGTACCTGTGGGTGTACTGACAGACGAGGCTAGTACCTGTGTGTGTATTGACAGACAAGGCTAGTACCTGTCCCTGTGGGTGTATTGACAGACGAGGCTAGTACCGGTGGGTGTACTGACAGACGAGGCTAGTACCTGTGTGTGTATTGACAGACAAGGCTAGTACCTGTCCCTGTGGGTGTATTGACAGACGAGGCTAGTACCTGTGGGTGTATTAACAGACGAGGCTAGTACCTGTGCATAAACAATGGTCAATAAGTCATTTTGAGGACACCAATGAATAAAAACAAAAGTTTGAAACATCAATTTGGTTCAAGAAATAAATGAACAATTATTAATAATTAAGCCATTTGTACCTTCAATCTTAACGTTAAAAAAATAACAAAGCAATATAACTAAAACGTAAAAAAAAGACCTATATCTAAGAAAACTACACATATCTTAAACATAACTTGTCGAATCGTCGCACTTAATGTCACATTGCTTAATGTCATATCCTCTTAAAAACTGTTCCTTTCCTCATTGCATGTAAATTAATTATGATTTTATTTGTTTCGGATCATATGATTGAACTAAGTTATTCTTAATACATATATCATGTTTTTTTGTCGAATATCCTGCATATGTGTAAACTACTTGTTAAGGTTCAAACCTATAAAATCAAGCAAGTTAAACGGACCAGGCGTGCCAGAGGGGTCTTATAGGTGCTACCATTGTAAGGTGTCCCAGAGGGGTCTTATAGGTGCTACCATTGTAATGTGTCCCAGAGGGGTCTTAGGGGCTACCATTGTAAGGTGTCCCAGTGGGGGCTTAGGGGCTACCATTGTAAGGTCTCCCAGAGGGGTCTTGGGGGCTACACTTGCAAGGTGTCCCAGAGGGGTCTTGGGGGCTACACTTGCAAGGTGTCCCAGAGGGGTCTTGGGGGCTACACTTGCAAGGTGTCCCAGAGGGGTCTTAAGGGCTACCATTTTAAATAGTCCCAGAGGGGTCTTATAGGTGATACCATTGTAAGGTGTCCCAGTGGGGGCTTAGGGGCTACCATTGTAAGGTCTCCCAGAGGGGTCTTGGGGGCTACACTTGCAAGGTGTCCCAGAGGGGTCTTGGGGGCTACACTTGCAAGGTGTCCCAGAGGGGTCTTTGGGGCTACCATTGTAAGGTGTCCCAGAGGGGTCTTATAGGTGCTACCATTGTAAGGTGTCCCAGAGGGGTCTTGGGGGCTACCATTGTAAGGTGTCCCAGAGGGGTCTTAGGGGCTACCATTGTAAGGTGTCCCAGAGGGGTCTTATAGGGGCTACCATTGTAAGGTGTCCCAGAGGGGTCTTATAGGGGCTACCATTGTAAGGTGTCCCAGAGGGGTCTTATAGGTGCTACCATTGTAAGGTGTCCCAGAGGGGTCTTGGGGGCTACCATTGTAAGGTGTCCCAGAGGGGTCTTAGAGGTGCTACCATTGTAAGGTGCCCCAGAGGGGTTATTGGGGCTACCATTGTAAGGTGTCTCAGAGGGGTCTTATAGGGGCTATCATTGTAAGGTGTCCCAGAGGGGTCTTTGGGGCTACCATTGTAAGGTGTCCCAGAGGGGTCTTAGGGGCTACCATTATTACTTTGTAAGGTGCCCCAGAGGGGTCTTAGGGGCTACCATTGCAAGGCGTCCCAGAGGGGTCTTAGGGGCTACCATTGTAAGGTGTCCCAGAGGGGTCTTAGGGGCTGCCATTGTAAGGTGTCCCAGAGGGGTCTTAGGGGCTACCATTATTACTTTGTAAGGTGACCCAGAGGGGTCTTAGGGGCTACCATTGTAAGGTGTCCCAGAGGGGTCTTAGGGGCTACCATTGTAAGGTGTCCCGGAGGGGTCTTATAGGGGCTACCATTGTAAGATCTCATTATATCTATGCAATGATGGACTGTTTGTCAGGTTATCAATAATTTCATCATGTGGTGACTTTTTCATCAAAAGTTCATACAGAAACTTTCAAAGTATTTTACTTTCTTAACGATTGAAATAACAACTTCCAAAGGTACAACTGTAGGTCTTTTAGCCATTTTCCCCCCAAACAAGATGAGCAGGGACTCTCCTAGTTATACCCAGCGAAACCTCCCAAATGTGACATTTAATCAATTTACACCGACTGATGACCACAAAAATCTAAACAGAAACTTCTTACTTCAAAAGTGGGTATTTGTTACCTCTGACCCTATAAAATTGACCAATCACCACTAACATGTATTCATGTGTAGGACTTATGCTCCAATACCACGGTTTAAATATAGACTTAATATACTACGGAATTTGCAAGACAAAAAGTATTGTTTAAGGACAATCAACTAATGATGGACCTATAGGACAAATGGCGATTGGAACAGCCCACCATGTGATAATGTTGGGTTATAAACTAAGACAAGTATTTCAGGCATCAAATCTATGCAGAAAATTCTACACTACCTTAAGAATTCTCAGCAGACATGTGATGATGTAAAGGCAACACAGAACCATTAAGTTGTAACTTAATCCGGCACCGGAGTCCTTCCCGTAAACAGAAGAAGAAGAAAAAGAAGAAGACATGAAGCTGTGGGACAGAGGGACAATGACGAACCACCAGAAGACTGAGCACTGGCCATGGGCTCGAGTGAACCAGAACCACCAGAAGACTGAGCACTGGCCATGGGGTCGAGTGAACCAGAACACATGATGGACAATACATGGGTACCTAAAGGCGTGTTGGTGCGAGAATTTGCATCACAAAAACAAAAGAATATCTGGACAGAGCTAATACAAGGTAATTCCAGCCAAGAGAATAATTAATCATTGATCACACAGCAAGACCAGAGTAGTCCTACATCAGGTGATCATAGTGTTCAGAGGACCTGGATCTCAGCGCAGAGTCGGGGAGTACTACAATGCTTTGCCTCACACATCAGAAAAGGGAGGAATTACTAACTACGAAGAGCGACATCAAGGAAATATCTTACCGGTATCATCATATAGATTTTTTTGAAAAAAAAGGAAAAATTAAATGCTTTCTACAGATGCCTATTATACAATCACAATTGTTGTAAATTTTTGTACATATATATATTTAGAAACAAAAATGAAAAATCAACGAAACTGAAAAGCAGAACTTCAGTAGTTTGAACACAGGACCTATCTGAAGATCAGCTGACATACAAATATAACTGTGCACTGGAACTCTGAGCCTTATATCACCAGTCAGCCATCACCCTGTGCTCAGTGAACCAGAGAACCAACATTCAAACTTAAGCTACAATGATGTCCTGGAGAAGCTCAGCTGTAATAAGAAACAATGTTTCCGTAGATCATTACAACGTCACAACATCGACATCCATTATACAATTGGTGAAAGCTTGTGCTCTAAATGTGACCAAACACAATGAACCCCTCACTACTTGCAAAAACAATAATACCGCAATGAATGTAATCCTATTTGATCTACTAGCTCCGGATCCTCTTCAAGTAAATCAAGTGAAGTAAGAGTGTAAATAAACAAGCTTTGATCACAACTTCCTTCTCGCTCCACTCCCACTCAACCTAAAATATTGTCCTACACTCCCACTTCACCTTAAATATCTTCCTAAACTGCTACCTCAAAAGCGTTTTTTCTGATGATAATATCAAAACTAACAACACAATTATTTCACAGTTCAGCTGGAATTACTTTGGCACAAGTTCTGGGTCCCAGACTGGATGAGTAAGTCAAGTCATATGTTACGTTTGCTGGCCATGGTTTCGGCAAATTCCTTGATGTGCGAAGCCTTGCAGTTAGGACAGCAATCCAGGTCCATCAGATGGATATTGTTAGGATGGAGAAGACACGTCCGTCGCACTCGACCCTTGAAGGTCATTCCACAGGATCGGCACAGAACAGTCTTCATTTCCCTGTTACAGATACACTCCACTTTGAATGTCTCCATCTTCTGTAACAAAAAGTAGAAAAAAAACATTCACAAGTGAAACCATAGATAGGCTGATTAATTAAGTGTCATGAAAAATGTTGAATTTCCAGAAATGTCATTAATGTTTTATTGTGGACAAAGTATCAAAGACATCAAGAAATTTGAAAATAATTGTTGCTATTGGTCTGTTTTTAATATAATAATTTCAATGCTAACCTTCACTCACTTAAAAAGCTGCCTCTTAATTAGTGGTAACACAGATACAGCACTGACATGCAACTTCACAACTATAGTACTGTACATAGTAAAACTTAATAACATATAATATACAGGAATATGTTATTCGGTCAACAATTAATAATAACATAAACATTACCTGTAAAATATGCTTAAAAGATAGACAGTTATTTTTTTTCCTTCTATTTATTACTACTGATTTTTTAACAGAATTTCAGACTTTCAATACTTTCAAACTAGGTTTTAAACAAATCTTAACACCAACTTATCAGGCCATAGTTCCACCAATTTTCTTTCACTTATTCTGTTAAGCTTTGACAAGTTAATCAGCAATTGTACTTCAGGTTTTATTTTCAAATAGAAATTATGCTTAAATTTTGGGAAGTTTGGGCCATTATTCTTGGTTTTTTTTTCTTGTACAAACACGTCTCTTGCTTTTGTATTGTTCTGTGATATATGACTTTATTTCATTACGGGCTCTCAAAAGTCCGGTATCATAATGCCATGTATTTACACAAAATGATTCGTCATCTTCGCTCCTGTGTGTATCAGGACGGTGAGAACCTATACTACGGCACACGGGTTTGAGCCGCCATATCGATCGTGCATTACGTAATAAATATTGCCCCGTCGGCCATTTGACAAACCACTTTCCTAAATAAATAAATTATAGTGACAAACAAAATGTGTTATTTTACCATAGCAGGTGAGCCTGCTCCTGGTTTTGAAGGTGGGGAGCGGACGTATGACATGGCGTTCTTCAAGGCCTTTCCACGAGCGATTGCTGAACTCGTTTGGGTAATCGATTCGGTCCCATGACTTCTGTCATCGACATGAAACACAGGAGTTTGGACTGTTGACATCATGCTTTCTGTCATGGCGATTAAAAAAGACTAGAAATAGTCTATGTTTACTCAAGACTAAACTGTTGTCGAATTCAAGGTGTCTCCTCTTTGGTAGTTTGGTCCAAAATGACCACATGCAGTTGATGCTGTGTTTACACCACGTGACCAAGTTCAAACTCACAGTGGCATTTGGCGGGAAATATATTGCGTCCGTAGCCTACTTGTAATTCGACATGCTAAGGGCCCGAGCTTTACATTCTCCTTATGTATGTTTTTTGAGGGGAATTTACAGCAGACACAATGGGGAAAGGAAGAAAAGCAACACTAGTGAAGAATGAAAAAAAACACCTTTTCATTACATGGTCATTCTCTTATATTTTCATTATATGTGCATTTATATTAAAAAAAAATAACGAGATGGAAGTCATTGTTTACTTTCGTCTGCGATAGTCATACGGATTATAAACATTGTATATTGATGAAGACGATGGACAATGGGAGTGTCAGACGATTCGACCCAAAACTGTAATGCCCCAATTGAAGCTGTTACGCCCGAATTTTGATTCATATCGCCCCAATCATTTCGCCAAAATAAAATCCTATTTGCCCCAAATATATTGTCCCAAAAATTCAGCTCGCCTCAAATCAATGAGTTTCGTGTATGGCTTTTAACATTTAATGTGATCTGTGCATTTCCCCTTCTCAATTCGTCGTTCATCCTTTTCTGCGGGTCAGTTTACCGTGTAATAGAATTTTGGGTAGATAACGTAATTACCAAATATGACGTTACTCGCGATGTTGGTGACACCGCTGCTTCAAAACAAGCATGGCGCCCGCTAAAACTATCGCTGTATTATTCAGTTTTCAGAATTTGATATCATATTATATATCACAGAAAACGTTTCTTCCATTGCATTCATCTTATGCTAACAATGGATAGTATAACACAACATGAAGTATTCTGTTTCACCTAAACCAGGGACAGTATACCTCCCAGCCTTAACAACCCCGAAAATGTCACAATAACACGTGTAACGCGTAACATCTACGGGGTAAGACGATTCAAAGAAGTTCGCATTAAAAATGTGCAGAGTTTTAAGAACAAGATTTAAGGAAGCAGAAATGACGTCACAAATGACGTCAAAAGTTTCATTGGGATTATTGATCGCCATACTTACCAAATCTCCTCCAAACCGTCTGACATTTTATCCTCATATTGTTGAAGTTGGTCAGTACCATTTAGAAGTAGAAACCGCTAGTAACATATTGTTAGCTTACCCAGCAGGAAGGTTGGCATGAGTCTATCGTGTTGGCAGGAGGATTATTGACAGATAGATGAGATATATTTGTTATGTGTCTTTGTCGAAATTATCATACGAAGAAAATTATCTATCTGAAAAAACGTTTTCTTGTAAAACAGGCAAAATTAAAAATTCCGAAATCTGTCCAATAGCCGTTTTTGACGTAAACTGAAACTTTGAGGACGTATAATAGTAAATAACGTTGAGCAACATTTAGAGCGCCAAACATCACTGAGTAGAAATCGAGAGGTCATTTTATTATTTCGAGTTATTAAGTCAATACTTATAAACAGAATTAAAGAAATACAGTAAAAACAACATATATCTGACGGTGATACTTCTTCTCTGTTGACGTATGTATCAGCAAAAATATAAAAATGGTACAACCGACTTGTTCTGTAACGATTAAAACGATCTATTTACATTCTGTATGCTTAGACCCATCGACAAAAATTACATTCATAAATGCATAACACAGGTGTTCATAGAATCTCAGCACGTGGGAACTGATAGTAACCTGACCACACTGCGTAGTAATACACTACAAAAACTACTCACTCGGAACGACCGACCTAGATGCTTAATTCTTACATCTTAAAATATTATTGAACTGTGCTTTGTGAAATATCCACGTATTCACGTGTCCTGTGCTACAAATAAACATTGAATAAGGAACTACATTTTGTTCTGTTATTGTTGTTGACGGTTGCTAAGATCTCTCACGATAGTGTCACATTTCCCCGCGAAAAAACACTGTTCTCGCCACTGCGTTGCACCCGTGTATAAGCAGGAACAAACCCCGTTTATTTGTTTTGTTCGGTGTTATATCGATCCACTGAAAGGATTCGTCAATGTAAATATAAGGAATGATATTTATTTTTTCAACATTTATGAGGTAATAACAACAATGGGATTATGGACATATTGAATGAATCGCGTTAGCGATTCATGTAAAATATGTCCAAAAACCCATTGTTGTTATGACCTCATAAATGTTGAAAAAATAAAAATCATTCCTTAATTAAAAAAACAAAAACATCCCACAACCCAGATCTGTCTTCTTCTAATCCCGGCCAACTTTTAACCTTTATTTATTTCACAACAATTATAAAAATAGTATATCAGCTCATGTTGATTATTTTTTCCTTGACAGCACGGTAGTATACAATGGGGCCATACAAAATAATGTAAAATATGACAAAACATCTAAAAAGCGACGTCATATATGATAAAAACGCCGTCATATATGATAAAAACGACGTCATATATGATAAAAATGTGTCACCAACATCGCTCGTAACGTCAAAATTATTTTAACAATGGAGTTGATTTGAACACAATTTGTGGCGTGTTTTAACTTTTCACCTTACACTTTTAAACGTTATTTATTGATCGGCATAATTAAAAAAATGTTGGTTAAAGGTTATGTTTCAATAAGATGTCAGTTACATAAACAAAGGTGTTTCTCATGACCTATTGTGTCGAACATCGGTTATTACCCTAATACTACTGACACTAAGTAAATACTGCTTTGTTAAATAAGCTGTGGGCTGACACTAATGGAATAAACAAGTTAATGACGTACACACACTGAGTATTCAGATACCATTGTGTCATTATAAGTCCTGACTTGTTCCTATTGCTTTAATTATTTAAATGCAAATACATGTATTCCAGAAAATAAAAGACATTATATATATATGCCATTGCCCGCTGCGACTGCCCGTGGTATAGTGATATACGTATTTTACATGTTTCTATAAGATGTAGGTGAAGCGTTCAATTATAACCCGTAAAATGTTGCTTACTCCACCGATCTGCCAACATAATCTTCAGTCTTTTGTCCAAAGACTTTTTGCCCTTTATCATTTACATTACTAGACCATATAATCAAGTGGTCATTTTACGATTAAAGATTAGGCCAATTTCCCCGTAAAGTTTTTTGACTCGGCATTTGAAAGATTGCTCAAATGTTTTAGAGGTCGGTTTGAACACATGCGGACTCAGTCAGTTTCGGCCAGTTTGAGCATGAAAGAGATTTCCTAAGCGCACCCCTCTTGCGGTTTTTTAAGTGCACAGTGCGCTTATTAGGTGCAATGCGGTAATGTATTGTAGACGACAAAATAAACATTGTATTTTAATATAGGCGTAAAATTAATGTAAACGAATAGTAGTTAAACAATGTATATGAATTAATGGCGAAGGCGTATAATTAAACAATATTAATATTAAACATAATATTAAACATAATATTAAACAATATTAATGTAGCTATATATAATTATAGGCGTACAGCCAAACAAGATATCACCTCGACACCCCAGGGCTAGCTCCCTTCGTACAGAACGTAATTGCTCGTAACCTCTGGAATTTCGATGGTGGCAATTAAGGTGTGGAGTTTTAACCAATCTATATCAGTCTGGGGTTACCATAGATCCGTCGAACGTTTTAATCTCGTAAGCGAATTATTTGTTTATATTCTCTCGGGTAAGTATGACTGCGAAAAATTGTTAATTTACAATATTCCTGGCAATGGTGTAGCTCAAATGTTAAGCAAATGAAAATGGTTTGGATGAAGACGTTTCCGGGTGGTGAGTGGACATTCTCTTACTCATCATTACACCCGTCAGGACTGGTCAAAACAACCCATCCATCATCTATCAGGATGTCCAGTTCTGGTTAGATGACGTAGACGGTGACGTACTTCAGTCGACATGAACTCGCTAGTGGGCTGCAGACTAACGTTATAAATACAGAAAACACCCGACTTCACCACCAGTTAAACGCCCGTGTCCAAAACAACCAGATCTCTACAAGTCACTACTGACACAGACAGTAAGTGGTGAACCTTTTGTGTTAAATGTACCTGTTCTTATCATCCAATATAGGTATATTATGTGGTTTAATGTTTAGATTGAGTCACGTAAATGTATATATACCAGACTTATCAGCCAATATAGGTATATTATGTGGTTTAATGTTTAGATTGAGTCACGTAAATGTATATATACCAGAATTATCTCTAGACTTCCTGGTCGAAGAATTGCACGAATTTCACAAATCGGACATATAAATCAAGAAGGGTTTATATGTCCGAATCCGTTTAAATATGAATTATATTCGTCATTTTTATGAAACCAATATGATATATTTAAACTAAATGCAACTGTTACATAGAGTATGTGTTTTAGAACGACATTATTTAACGGAAATGTGTAATTGTGGAGGAATAACAAACCAAATACAGCTCTTTTGTAATTTTTGCGTTTCCTCAATTCATATGTTCAAGTGATATTGAAATGTTAGAAATAACAGTAAATAGCGATAAGTAAACTCGTGCAGTTGTCGCAAAATACGATTATAACTTATTTGACGTCGATTTTAACCTCGCTTATATAGTTGCGTTCTTACGTTATAATGACATATGAAGTACTTGTATAAAAAAAATTGAGTCGGTATCAGAACCACAGGAGCCTGAAATAAAGAAAAAAATAACATAACAGTAATACAAAAAAAACCCACCTATATTATGCTTAAAATAGTTGTTTTGTTTTGTATTACTATTATAATGAATTATTGACAGAATTCCAGACTCCTATGTCAGAACCTACTAGATAACAAGGTGGAATTTTATAACATGAACTTTTTCCTTTCCAGCAAGATGAGGGTCCTACTTACCGTGGCCGCATTGTGTGTAGTAGCCATAGCGGTGACCGCTAGACCTAACGGTCAAGGCGGGAGCCGACAGGAAGCAAGACGTAAGTATATATTTGTTTGAACAGTATACTCATCATCCTCGAAACGCCACTCACTCACGTGCTCTGCACTCCTGGAATATGTCATGACAAAATAGAAATGCGTATTATACAAGTAGATTAGGTTGATCCTTCGATGTTCATCAAAATAATCGTGCGGCAGCATAACGGTAAAATTGACTAGCTTTGAAGTCGGATGTCGCTCATTTGTAACCTCCAAAGGACAAGTATCAGCCAAGTGAATGGTCAATTTGTTTTATACACAAAGCCAATCAAATCGCAAACTTCGTCCTTTCAGGATTGTCCTAACATATTACAGAGGTGTAGAGAACAAAGTGAGCCTAGTCTTGGAGTATCGATACATGTATTTCACAAATTTTTCAAAAATTGTTTTTTTCAAGATTTAAAGATTTCAAAATTTATAAAGATGTGAGATTTTCAAGATTTCAATATAAATGACGAAATGCTTTACGGATAGCACGCCGTCCATCCGAAACTCTGCTACGAGTTCATTTTCCCAAAATTGATTCATGGATGTATGAATTAGTGACACTCAATTCCAGTTATTATATTCTTATCATGCATGTAAGCAGAGACATATAAAGTATATACGTCTCTGATGTAAGACTTTTACATCAGTGTACTTCAGTAGTGAAATATTCCTTTTACGGACTTTGATAAGTAAATTCTTAATACTAAAACGAACTCCAGATATATAGATCTGTTACCATAGCTTATACTTAGAAATATCTATATTTACAGTAGTCTTAATAATAGAAATATCTTTCATCCGTTAACAAAATGTCAGTTGAACATTTGACTCTATTCAGTGTGAAAGTGAACCCCAATCTACTTATTCCACATTTTTAAAACTTAAAGCTTGTTTTCAAATTCCCTTATAAAAAAATGCTTTTGGTTTTGCCGTACTTTTAAAATGATGTTCCGGATGTTACAGGAAATCGATGCCGATACGATCGATCAGTGGCGTGGGATCGGACAGCGTGCAATGTGGACGGGGCCGATCTGGATGTCGCCATGGCAACCAGAACCTCTCCGCTGTTGTCTGGAGCAGAAGGATGCGATGCCACAAAAACTGAGGAAGTGAAATGTAGTGAGATCGACGAACGAATAGCGCGACAAGAAAGAATGGAAGAAAGGAAAGAGATGAAGAAGTTGCATAGGGAAAATGGTTGTAAATACGACTTTTGGACAGCCGAATGGAACAAAACGGCATGCGAGGAAGTTGGTGCCGATCTGTCCCAAGCCAGGGGAACAGTTACCATGACGCTAGTCTCCCAGGGTCAGCAGGAATGTCCCCTGGTCAAGGTCAAGCCCGTTTCCTGCAACAGATTCGAGAAGTGGTCATACTGGAAAAAACAGCTCATGGAATTGAAGAAGAAAATAAAGGAAATGAAGCACGAGAAGATTGCGTCTAAACGACAGGAAAAACAGTCGACCACAGAGCAGACGGCCACAGAACAGCAAACCACAGAACAGTCAACATAAAAACAGCTGGGCTCATTGGCAACTAAATAACTTACAAACGGAAATTATGACTGTGCTTATTGGTGACTCTGCCTGAAACTGAGTTACCGTGGAGATTTCGTGAAGGTTTCTAATGAAGATTTTACTCGCTCCTCAAACTTTACATGACTTGGTAAATGAAATTACATCAAATTACCAACATTCATGTTTTGAGGAACATTTCGCAAGACTAGGTTATATTGTTAAAAAGATACTCGTACTAAATTACCTACCGTGAATACAAGTAATTACAATACATACAAATATGTATTAATGACAATAAAAATATATTAAAGAACATAAAGAAACAACAACAGATAATTATAGTCTTCTTTAAACTGCCAGTTTCCCCTGTATTGTCTGTCTATGAAATCCATAGATAACTATATATTTTGTCTCGTTTTTGTAACTCACCTTGTCGACGTCATACCATTAGTCTTCGACTACTATTATACATTGTTTTGTTTGAAATAAAAAAAAAAATAATAATTCCTGTGCTCATTTTCATGAATGCCTGCTTGATACCAGAACCCATTGCTGTGTTTTTCTCCGTCATCTTGATGATAGATTTTGGACCCACTGAGAGACTGAGGAACAAAACACAATAACTATTTTATACAGGAAGAGAAGATAAATCCTGTGTCATCTTTTAACCACCAAAGACTCTACAAACCCAAATAAAATATACTAGAACTGTCACAATGAGGATAACTAATCCCCCACAGATGCACAGGTGCTCGGGTTCTGGAATATATGTGATATATAGAGAATAATACATGTCTTTTTCCATATCACACCCAGTAGCAACCCGAGACTCCAATATCAGCCAGAGGCGGCTGGTATTGGAGTCTCGGGTTGATACTGGGTTAGATATCGAAAAAGGCATGTTTTATTCTGTTTATTACATACTTCCTAATAAAATACGGTTATATCTACTTTCTTATGATCTATTTTTCTTTTGAAATATTGAAAAACGAAAAATTTCCAAAAGGGGTGTGATACGGGTTTTGCGGGCTGATACGGAGAGGGCTGATATGGGTTAGAGCAATTGTGTCGTATCGTATACCAAAAAACCCGTAGTAAGTATGTAATGAATTATCGCACCCCACTAGATATCGCACCCCCTTATATTATGATTTATTAGTATAAGGGGGTGCGATAATATATCACATCAGAATCTATAGTTCTTTCCTTAAAACAGTCGAGATCATTCGTTAAGAAACATCACAGACACTGATTTATAATACATCAGAATCTCTAGTTCTCTCCTTAAAACAGTCGAAATCTTTTGTTAAGAAACATCACAGAAACTGATTTATAATACATCAGAATCTATAGTTCTTTCCTTAAAACAGTCGAAATCCTTCGTTAAGAAACATCACAGAAACTGATTTATAATACATCAGAATCTATAGTTCTTTCCTTAAAACAGTCGAAATCCTTCGTTAAGAAACATCACAGAAACTGATTTATAATACATCAGAATCTATAGTTCTTTCCTTAAAACAGTCGAAATCCTTCGTTAAGAAACATCACAGAAACTGATTTATAATACATCAGAATCTATAGTTCTTTCCTTAAAACAGTCGAAATCCTTCGTTAAGAAACATCACAGAAACTGATTTATAATACATCAGAATCTATAGTTCTTTCCTTAAAACAGTCGAAATCCTTCGTTAAGAAACATCACAGAAACTGATTTATAATACATCAGAATCTATAGTTCTTTCCTTAAAACAGTCGAAATCCTTCGTTAAGAAACATCACAGAAACTGATTTATAATACATCAGAATCTATAGTTCTTTCCTTAAAACAGTCGAAATCCTTCGTTAAGAAACATCACAGAAACTGATTTATAATACATCAGAATCTATAGTTCTTTCCTTAAAACAGTCGAAATCCTTCGTTAAGAAACATCACAGAAACTGATTTATAATACATCAGAATCTATAGTTCTTTCCTTAAAACAGTCGAAATCCTTCGTTAAGAAACATCACAGAAATTGATTTATAATACATCAGAATCTATAGTTCTTTCCTTAAAACAGTCGAAATCCTTCGTTAAGAAACATCACAGAAACTGATTTATAATACATCAGAATCTATAGTTCTTTTCCTTAAAGTTAGTTTATTATACTTTCATTTGCAACAGGGGTTATATCAAAGCAGAAATTTACATATAAAGTTTTAACCATGAACAGTCTCAAACAATCATTTAAGTGTTGATACATAGGACATGTACACAACTGTATTAAGTATAGTTGTGATGGTTTGATATTAACAGAAATATAATGTATTGTAACTCTGTAATAGTGAACAACAAAGACCTGATTCTAACAACCAACCTACCCATCAGCTTAAGGCTATTTCATGATGTTAGGACCAAGTTCTTGGAGAAAATTAAACATTTTCTATTCAGAACTTTAAACAAATTTATTTTCTGATCCTGTCAAATAATGTAAACTTGATCAGTTCAGTCTTGGGTGTGGCCTCATTTGTAGACAGAGGGTTTCAATGAGAAAACTTCATACTTTCCCACTTTGCTTCCCCCAGACAAAATTGATTTTGATTTCTGATCTTGATGGTTTTACATCCGCTATTAGAGACAAAACAGCTAAGCTATGTTATATTTCTGGGTATGGAATAGATTTTTGGAATTGCCATCATGGCCAGGGGAGTTAATATTAAGAAACATTGTATGCTGTCTCTAAACCTACACACAAAGCTCTGTTATTTCTACCTATTAGGAAGATTTTTCATAATTGCCCTTTCAGGCTGGCCCCTCAGCTGTTGTGTGGGTGGGACATGAACTCCTCTTATCCTTATAATACTTCATATCTTATTAATTTTAAATATGTTCCGTGGTTTCAGAAAAGTCTATAATACGAAATGTTTACAAGCGATGGATGAAAAACTGATGAGAATGTTCAGGTGAGCTGAAATGTATGAAATATACATGACTTATAAGAAACATACTTGAATTGTCCTATTGAGACTTTAGTGAGATTGACTACCAGATGGACGGCCAGAAACAGTATATGTTACAGTCAAACACTCACAGCTGATGGAACAAATCCCAGACTTGAGCAAGGCAAGTGCTACAAGATATTGTAAAGGTCCTAAGGAGGGGAGGGCCCATTGATCTAAGAATCTACCTCCTAACAACATGAAATTCCAGGCGACACTTTTTGAAATTTGAAATAAAACAAACTTTACAGAACTAGCTGTATAAAAGGCTATGCTGACAGAACTAACTGTATAAAAGACTATGCTGACAGAACAAGCTGTATAAAAGGCTATGCTGACAGAACTAGCTGTATAAAAGACTATGCTGTCAGAAGTAGCTGTATAAAAGACTATGCTGACAGAAGTAGCTATATAAAAGACTATGCTGACAGAACTAGCTGTATAAAAGACTATGCAGAACTAGCTGTATAAAAGACTATGCAGAACTAGTTGTATAAAAGACTATGCTGACAGAACTAGCTGGATAAAAGACTATGCAGAACTAGCTGTATAAAAGACTATGCTGTCAGAAGTAGCTGTATAAAAGACTATGCTGACAGAAGTAGCCATATAAAAGACTATGCTGACAGAACTAGCTGTATAAAAGACCATGCTGACAGAAGTAGCTGTATAAAAGACGATGCTGACAGAACTAGCTGTATAAAAGTCTATGCAGAACTAGCTGTATAAAAGACTATGCTGACAGAAGTAGCCATATAAAAGACTATGCTGACAGAACTAGCTGTATAAAAGACTATGCAGAACTAGCTGTATAAAAGACTATGCTGACAGAACTAGCTGTATAAAAGACTATGCTGACATAACTAGCTGTATAAAAGACTATGCCGACAGAACTAGCTGTATAAAAGACTATGCTGACAGAACTGAAATAAAGGTACTATTTTATATCACTGACTAATCAGGGCCTATTATTATACCTCGTCTATATAACAGCGTGTCTGGTTGGATTTTAATGATCACATGATGAGGAAATAAAATATTGTGTTTCCTTCTTGTACTTGAGTTTCCTCAGTCACATTTCTTTATTCAAAGCGTCACTAGAAAAATTATCAAGAGGTACCACACCAGAGTTCTGAGTGCCTGCAGAGGCTGAGTACAACAATGGTGCACAAGCCTGATCACCTGACCTGTTGTTCTATTTTGGTATAAAATATTCATTGCCATGTTTGGAGGGAAACAGGATTCTATGTTTCCCAGAAAAACCATGTTTCTCTCCAATTTATCTCTTTGAAACATAATTCATATTGGGGAAACAAATAATCCTGTTTTCCTACAAGGGCAATAGCTGTGTAATTAAATTTCTATTTTGAACTACAATATTATTAGACAAGAGCAAAAACAAAGCAAAAATGAGAGAAAGAAGAAAAAGAATAATTTGCAATTTATTTTTTGTAAATAGTATACATCTCCAAAATACAGCAAAATTGGAACATCACAAAAAGAGTAGGACCTGTACTACTGGCATAGAAACACACTGACCATGTCCAGTCTGTGGCTTGTTATAGTCACTCAAAGTTTATTAGTACAACTGTCAGATCAGTAAGTTCAACTACTCATGATCTGTTCAAAGAAAGCTTTACCCTGAAGTCTGGAACATATCATTCTCTATTAAATCCATCAGTTTCTGTTTCATTGCTAAACATGCCAAAAAACATCCTGCATGAATAAAATTTGTTTTTGAAAACAGGCATGCTCAAATTTATAGTTCATTGGTGTGATTTTACCTGCTATATTTTTGGGAGGCAAATAGTATGAAATTTGTATTGCCATGAACAAAACGTGTTGGATTTGAACAGCATAGTAAAGGGGTAATTTCGACATTAACAGTAACTCTCAAAAATACAGGTCATTGGGTGTTTTTCAGTTCCAGAATATGTCATATTTTGTGGTCCAAGGGACATAACTCCAGCCAGTCACCCCACATAATAGAAAACACATTAGGAAAACTATTATAGGTCTTCTTCATTTAATGGACAGCAAAGAAAGTGCCACTTAACTGAATACCATATTTAATTATCTAATAAATGTATTTAATAATTACACATGACTGAAAACCATCATACTAATAATTTGGCCTGTGCGAGCCTGTTCTAATGTGAACAAGGTTACATTTCTTCATTTAAAAGCTCTATACCATAAAATCTCCTTTTGAATATTCCAGCTTGAATAAACCAATTTTAGTCTA